TCCCTCCCTCCCTCCTTCCCTCCTTCCCTCATCTCCTCCCTGCCCCCTTCCAAGTCCACTGAGAAGGGGTGTCCTCCTCTCCTTCTATCTGGCCCTAGCTTATCAGGTTTCTTCAGGATGGTTGCAATGTCCTTATCCATGGCCTAGCAAAGCTGCTCCTCCCTCGGGGGGAGGCGGGGGAAGGCTCAATGAGCCAGACATTGAGTTCATGTCAGAAACAATTTCTGTCTCCCTTAGTAGGGAACCCACTTGGATACTGAGCTACCATGGGCTATGTCTGAGCAGAGGGTTGTAGGTTATATCCATGCATGGTCTTTGTTTGGATAAATAGTCTCAGAGAAGATCCCTGTGCCCAGATATATCTGGACCTTGTGGGGCTCCCTGTCCCCTCTAGGTTATACTAATTCCTCCTTCCTTCATATGATTTCTTACACTTTGCCAAAGGCTTGGTATGGGTCTCAGCATCTGCTTTGATACACTGCTAGGAAGAGTCTTTCAGGTGCCTTCTGTGGTAGGCTCCTGTCCAGTTACTTGTTTTCTCCTAAGAAGAATTCTTTTCTATGAGTCATCGAAGGCAGGATGAACAAATGGGAAAACTATTTTAAATAATTTAAATTAGCTAAGATGAAGTAGCTAAGGTACACAGAATATTTACATATTCATAAGAAACCATTGAAAAAGAGATCAAACTGGACAGAGTGGAAGGTGCAACCTGAACTGTTATGTATACAAAGAAATAATCAACCCGTAACTCTTAAAAATGGACAGGAATCAGAGGTAAGGCAGCTATGAGATGAGGGAAGGTAAGTCCTGTGTGTGCTGCTGAGAACAGTGCACACCAACCGGTACAGCAGCACAGAGAGCAATCTGGGCCCACTCCTTGGGAATAAATAAAGCCTCGTAATCAAATCCAGGGGTGCATCCAAGAGGAACCTGAGAGCAGGTTCATAAGGGGACATGCACAAAGATGTTCATTGTAGCCACAGCTTAGAGGCAACTGGCTGTCCTTCACGACTGGAATGGGAAGGCAACGTATGATACCTGCATCAGTTACGTTATCATCCATCATTCAGAGCAGTTACGGAGCGCTGCTACATACTGGCAAATCTCTGGACACACGTTGGCATTTTTAATTCGAAAATTAAATCAAACCTCCAAAATAGTGGTGTACACTTATAATCCTATCGCTTAGGAGACATAGTCAAGAGGATTCCATCTTCACGGATAGCCTCAGCCACATAGTAAATTACAGGCCAGACAGGGCTCAGTGAGATGTTGTCTCAAAAAACAATTTAAATGCAAATTTTAAGTAAACAGAAATCCATAGTAAAATACCATTTGTGTACATTAAATCCAGAAACATATATAAAACAGCACCACTTGCGTTTGAAGGGATCACTTGTACCCACGGGTTTCTGTGACTGTAGAGCATTAAAGGTGTCTGTAGTGAGGAGGCTGTTGAACAGTGCTAAAAAGAGAATGAATGACAAGACTGCAAGTTACTTAGAAAGACATATTAGACTGTAGAATTAATTCATTACCTGGCATTAAATATACAAATTCTATTGCCCAAGCTCTGTAAGTTAAATTGGAAAGGTCTTATGCAGTGAGAAAACATGTATACAAGTGCTATCTCTCTTTACTCTTTCCTAGAATGTGCCGGGCAAACACGGTTTTCTTAACAAGGCTTATGACATTGCACTGTTAGTGGTCCCTATCTCTCCATGTCTTATGCAGATCCTTTTCTAACTGAGAACAGAAAGACGTGGTTCTCTTACTCATGGAGAATAATGCAGCTGTACATCAGCAGAAAGATGAAGTCTGCTTTAAGCTTTTCTTTATCAAAGCTTCCTTTCTCATTTGGCCTTTTCTTGCTTCGGACACCTTTTTCCTCAACAAATCTCCATGTCCTACAGCATACATTATATTCCTTTCTGATTGTGAAAACCTGTAATCAACCATTCCTAATTTTTTCTCTCTCGACAGATAAATAAATTTTGCCTTTTACTTCAATCTGAAAAGAAAGAAATAAAGAAACTTGCCTAGTTCAGATCACAACAGCCTCTTCTCCTCACTTACAAAATTATTCTTTTGACATACACTAAAAATAGGTCTTTTGCTAAGGATTGCCTAAATATATCATTTTTTGAATACCAGACTGTGGCAGGTCATTCGCTTTGTGGCCACAGATGAGAGAAATTCCCCACACAGTGAAGCTGGTTGAACTGAGCGATGTTTATCACAGTGATTCAGCCTTTCATTCAGCTGCACCCTGCAAATTATCTGAAGGAGGACCAATGGCTGGCTTTCTCAAAGAAACTTGAACTTTGTGTGAGACCCGACAGAAAGCTGGAACTTCTGAACACAATGATAGTAACTGGCCTAGCCTATAGAAGCCGGAGAAGAAAAGTGGAACAGCTCCAGTGAATGCTGACAGGAGGAGAGGAACATAAAATGAACAAATCGTGTGTTTGAAGTAATAAGACAAGGTAGACTATCTGTTTCAGCTACTTCCTGCTTTGGGGGTCTGGGTCATTTTCCAAATTAGTTTTTCCTTTTGCAGGGTAAGAAAATGAGAAACTCATTATCAGCTAATTACTAACATTTGGCAGCTAAAATGATAGACAGATAACAGCTTAGGAACATAAAAAGAATAAAACTGAGAAATTCACTTTCGTGTCTGTCTAGTAGTAAAGTGAAACCTAAAATTTAATCAATGCGTGTTTGCTAAATAAATTCATGAGGAACATGAAATGAAATGGACTTTAGATGTCAGAGATGTGTGTCAAAAAAAAAAAAAAGGATTACATTATAGATTTTTAGGGGGCAGGGGAAGAAATGTAGACAATCAGAAGAATGTATGTTATTTATGTTGGAGGCAACACTCCTGTAACATAAAAGTGCCTGGAGCCACGAGGCAGTGGTGGTGCACGCCTTTAATCCCAGAGCTCAGGAGGCAGAGGCAGGCAGATCTCTGCCAGTTCAAGGCCAGCCTGGTCTACAAAGCGAATCCAGGACTACACAGAGAAACCCTGTCTCAAAAAACAGAAGCAAAACAAACAAAGGAACTCAAAAAGTACCAGGGGTCAGCACTACAGAGAAAACCATCGAACCTGCTTTGAGAGTGAAGAGCCACTATAGAAGTGTCTATCCAAATGTATAGTAAGTGACATGTCTGAACAACTGAGTTCTTATTTGCCACAGGAAGGAGACAAGGCAGAGGTGAGAGAAACATAAGGATATCGTGGTAGGCTCTCATGTTAGGCCCAGAAGAGTCTAAATCCAAATTCTACCATTCACTTCTGGCACAAATATTGACAAAATACTAATGGGTGAGACATCTGGAAGATGGAGGTTCTCATTTTAAAAGCAAGATTTTAGACCTGTTTTGCAGATTGAATATATGATGATATGAGGCATAAAACATACTTTTAAGATGATATATGTTTTTCTTTTTATCATCAATGTGTTGTATGATGGTGTGTGTAAATGTGTGGAGGTCAGAGGACAGCCTAGGAGTTGGTTCTCTCTTTCCACTGTGGGTTCTGGAGAGCAGACTCCCATGGCCAGGTTTGCACACTGAGTACTTTCACTGTGGCCTGGCCTGGCTCTGAATGTACTTTGTTGTTGCTGTGTTGTTATTTTTTTATTATTGTTATTGATGACATTGTCCATCATCTTAATATTTGTCTTAACTTCAGGTGAAATACTTGCAATCTGCAAAGTGAATGGCTTTTTTATTTTTGTATTTTTCTGTGTGTGTGTGTGTGTTTTCCCTCTTTGGCATTTTAATAAAAGCTATCCCCAACCTCATTTGATTTGTTTTAGAAGCATGGAGGAGGGAAAAAGAAAGAAAGAAAGAAAGAAAGAAAGAAAGAAAGAAAGAAAGAAA